CTGAGGGTGCTGGTGCCGTGGGTCCCGGAGGTGCTCGTCCTGGGAGTACTGGAGCTGCTGGGCCTGCGGGTACGACTGGAGCTGGAGCTGCTGAGGGTGTTGACGCTGAGGCTACTGCTGTCGGTCCTGGAGGCGGTCCTGCTGGGGGTACTACTGGTGCGGCTGGAGGTCCTGGAGCTGGAGGTGCTGCTGGCGCTGGTGCTGCCGCTGGGGGTACTGGTGCTGTCCCTGCTGTGTCTGGAGTCGCCGCGCGGCCTCGGCCGTACTTCGTTCCGCTCCTTCAGCAGGTTCTTGGTCTCCCGCCTTCTACTGGTCCTCCTCCTCCCTTAGAGTGTCCACAGCCTGTCCCGTCACAGTTCCAGTTACAGCCGGCCTCCCCACTGCCCGCTCCCTCTCCCTACACTGGTCCTACTGGAGGTCTTGCTGAGCGTCGTGAGCCTGCGTCCCGCCCTGCGTCGCCTGTCCGTGCTGCTCGCACTAGTGGTCGTGGTTCGCGTCAGCGTCCTCCTCCTGTCCCTGGCACGCACCGGATGTCTCTGCGTCCGTCCACTGCTCCTCTGCGTGCCCCTTTTCCTTCTCCTCCTGAGTCCTCTCTTCCTGCTCTTCCTGACCCGGAGTCGGACTCTCTTCGTGCTGCCAGTCCTACTGTCACACGTCTCCTTGCTACTGTTGTCACTGACCCTTTCTTTGAGTCCACTGCTGCGTCTGCCCTAGTTACTGAGCTCGTCGACTTTGCTGCTCGCTGTCGTCTAGACTACGCTGCTAGTCTTGTTGCTGAGTCTGTCTGTCCTCCGTCCGTCGGGGGTGAGTGTGCCCTTGGCACGGACGTCCTTGAGGACAGGCAGGAGGAGTTCCAGTGTTTGGCTGTTGCTTCACCTCATCTCGTGTCCGTACTGCTTACCCCTGAGGGAGACCCGGATGCACTTGACATCCCGACTCCGCGCTCTTACGCGGAGGCGATAGAGGGTCCCTACTCCTCTCAGTGGCAGGCAGCTATGGACGCAGAGATGGCTTCATGGAAGTCCACAGGCACCTACGTCGACGAGGTTCCCCCGCCTGGGGCGAACATCGTCAGTGGCATGTGGATTTTCAGGGTGAAGCGGCCGTCGGGTTCTCCGCCTGTCTTCAAGGCGCGTTACGTGGCTCGTGGCTTTAGTCAGCGGCAGGGAGTTGACTACTTTCAGACCTTCTCTCCCACCCCGAAGATGACCACTCTTCGGGTACTGCTGCACGTAGCTGCTCACCGCGACTACGAGCTACACTCTCTTGACTTCAGCACTGCTTTCTTGCAGGGTAGCCTGCACGAGGAGATCTGGCTGCGTCGCCCACCTGGCTTCACTGGGTCTTTTCCTCCTGGCACCCAGTGGAGCCTCCGGCGGCCAGTCTACGGTCTCCGCCAGGCACCGCGTGAGTGGCACGACACACTGAGGACTACACTTGCGGCTCTTGGGTTTGCTCCCTCTACTGCCGACCCGTCGCTGTTTCTGCGCACCGACACTTCTTTGCCGCCGTTCTACATCCTCGTGTACGTCGACGACTTGGTCTTTGCCACAGCTGACACTGCTGGACTCGCCTACGTGAAGTCCGAGCTGCAGAAGAGACACACGTGCACAGACTTGGGTGAACTGCGCAGCTACCTTGGCTTGCAGATCACCCGGGACAGAGCACGCCGCACCATTACCCTGACTCAGTCACACATGGTGCAGCAGGTCCTTCAGCGCTTCGGCTTCACGTACTCCTCGCCTCAGGCCACTCCTCTGCCTACTCGCCACTCGCTCTCAGCTCTGCCTTCGGATGAGTCCGTAGAGTCGAGTGGCCCGTACCCAGAGCTTGTTGGCTGCCTCATGTACCTGATGACCTGCACACGACCTGACCTTGCATACCCTCTTAGCATTCTCGCACGCTATGTTGCTCCTGGGAGACACAGACCGGAGCACATGGCTGCAGCGAAGAGGGTGTTGCGCTACTTGTGCAGTACGTCGGGCATGGGGCTTGTGCTTGGAGGGCAGAGTCCAGTGGTCCTCACTGGGCACGCAGACGCTTCTTGGGCTGACGACCAGGCTACGCAGCGGTCGTCACAGGGTTACACCTTCAGCCTTGGTTCCGGTTCTGTTTCGTGGCGGGCTACCCGCTCGTCTTCTGTTCTCGGCTCCAGTTGTGAGGCTGAGATCTACGCTGGGGCCATGGCTGCACAGGAGCTTCGCTGGCTCACCTACCTGCTGACTGACCTCGGAGAGCCGCCTCGTTCTCCTCCAGTGCTGTACGTAGACAACAAGGCCATGCTGGCCTTGTGTCCAGAGCAGAGACTGGAGCACAGAACAAAGCACATTGCTCTCCGCTACTTCCTTGCTCGTGAGCTACAGCAGCGTGGTCAGCTGCGACTTGCGTACGTGGCCTCTCAGGCCAACACTGCTGATATCTTCACCAAGGCACTTGCGCCTTGTGATCATCAGCGTTTCTGTACTCAGCTGGGCCTTGTGCCTACCTTGCCTCACTTGCTCACCCCTTGACCTTGTTTGTACTGTTGCATATATATATACACGTGCTCTTGCTTGTCTAGCCTTATATATATATGTAATCCTGCATGTGAACTGGCCTTGTGGCCTTGAACTTGTGCTCAGAATGTGTGGTGACTTTGTGATCCACCCTGAGCTTGCTTTGCTTTGCTTGACTGGACTTGTGACCCCTTGTTCTCCCCCACTTTGCCTATGGGGGTGTGTCAGATTTATATGACAGAGCTACTGTAGGCTATAGTGGGGTAGCACATATGGGGTACAGTTTTTCTAGGGTTTGTATTTGTACCCAACTTTCCCTTAGTCATTTTTCATTCCTGTTTTCTTCATTCACAATCCCCATCTCCCTCCCTCTCTCTCTCCCTCTCTCTGGCGGTACTGACCCACTACGGAAAGAAAGGATAATGTTTGAAAGGTATCCGCGGCTAAAAGCAGACCAATATGTCAGGGCGACGCGGCTTTCTGGCACGCAGCATCATGCGCAACGTGGCTTTTAGGGATGATATTGGGAGGCTTCATTTGGCATGACGGCTTCTCGACGTGGCGCAACGCAAGGGCCATTTTCAGGTGCAATCTACACTTGCTAGGAAATCTACTCATGTGCGATCCAAGTTACTGTGCAGTTACGAACACCAGATTCATTGTAAGGAATTTCTGTCGATATCCCTTCTCAAACGATATCTGATTCAAAACAACACAAACAGTCCAAATCAAAGGCGATTTCGGATCACGCCAAGCAAAATTCGAATGGCCACGTCATAATTGACCAATTTCGATGACAATTTCTGCTTCGCACCAGAAGTTTTATGAAACAATTCTTATGCAGGATCAGCTGTACTGTTGACGCAGATGACGGAAGCTGCGCAGGGCAAATTAGCATTCCGTTCTTGGGCGTGCACCCCGAAACACGAGAAGACTGCCTGGATGATAATAAAGAGTACCCTCACCGTAATAAATACCAAGCTGAATTTTGTTTCCGCACTAGACGACGCCACCAGAATATATATATATATATATATATATATATATATATATATATATATATATATATATATATATATATATATATATATATATATATATATATATATATTACCAGAAAGAATTCTTATTTTCTGGTGGCGTCGTCTAGTGCGAAAACAAAATCCAGCATGGTATTTATTACGATTAGGGCAAACTCTGTTATCACCCGGGCAGTTTTCTCGTGTTTCAGGGTCCACGCCCAAGAACGGAATGCTGATTTGCCCTGCGCATCTTCCGTCACCTGCGTCAACAGTACAGCCGATCCTTCATAAGAATTATTCTATAAAACTTTTGGCGCGAAGCAGAAACTGTCGTCGAAATTGGGAAAATATGATGTGACCATTTGAATTTTGCTTGGCGTGATCCGAAATCGCCTTTGATTTCGACTGTTTGTGTTATTTCGAATCGGATAACAGATGATATGGCTTTATCGACAGACATTTTTTAAAATGAATCTGGTGTTCGTATCTGCACAGTAATTTGGATCGCACATGAGTAGATTTCCTAGCAAGAGTGGATTACACCTGAAAATGGCCCCTCAACGCTACGATGCATTTTCCTTTTGTTGAAAGTCCGCATCCCCGCCCCGATGCACCGCTTCGATAGTGTATGATGTGTGCTTGTTTAAACAAGGAGTATTCGTTTGTTGAACTACAAAAAAAATACTATGAGATATATAAGGGAATGAGGGGGAGGGGGGAGGGGGAAAGGATGTTACTACGCATGATTGTGTTGCCTTGATGGAAGAAAAAACTATTCTGTGAGCAAGCTTGGATTACAATACAGATGACTAACGTACATACCGTAAAACGCGGACCAGGCAATGTACGCCTTCCCCATGAAACACAGAAACACAGGTCTTAGACTTTCTAACAGATGCAAGGCACGAATTGACTGCACACTTAATTACGGAACGCAGACAATTCCAACGAGCCCACCATCGCCGCCACCAACAGTCCCGCACTTGAGTCGAATCAAAAGCAAATGCAAGCCAGACGTTGGCTGCAAGCTTCAATCAAGAGGGCAGGCAGATCTCAACAACACGGGTCGTTTTACTTCTCATACAGCTCCCTGCTCCCTCCCACTGCCCAAATTTAACTACCAAGGACTCCCAGCTCTCTGCTTCCTCTGATTGTCCAACCCTAATCACGGGGGCAGACAGATCTCAACGGGCTCACTAGTGCTGCCACCGAGAGTCCCCGCACACGGGTCGTTGTACTTCTCATACAGCTTCGTGCTTCGTTTGAAATACCTGTTGATGATACCGCTGCAAGGTGCCGCTGCTTTGAACTTCTTTGATACTCCCATGTCGCATTGACCATAAAGACCAACCGGCAGGGCCTCGGTACATATCTTGGGCCAATGAGCCTGCACATTTGCGGATGTGCGCATGTTAGAAACAAGTGTGACTCACTCAGAACACTGGAAATGGACAACAAATATGGAGGGATTGTAAGGCATGTATCAGGAAGGCTGTGATTGAGATGCGGAGAGATGGCGCTGCATGGTCAACAACAAAATAAGAAGCAATTCTTCCGATAACAAACCGGCAATGCTCAGCCTCCTCTGACTCACCCCCAGACTGGCAGTTAGTGAGCTGTAGCACACGAGCCCTGGGTTCAGGCGGTAGAGCTCCAGCAAGGAAGAGAACTCAAAGTCCTTGACCACCTGCGCACAGCTGCTCGTGCCGCTGACCGAGTACACTGTATTGCAGTACTCCCCGCTTCCATCATCCGCCCCATCTTCCCGCTCGATGCAGAGGGAGCGCGACGGGGGCAGGGGTGAGGAGCAGTCAACGCCGGGGTTGAGGTTCTCAAGGGATAGAGAGGAGATGGCGAGAGAGGCTGCCACTGACTCGCATGTGTCGCCCTGCTTGGGGATGGGGAGGAGTAAGGGTGGCGGAGCAGAGAGGTGGGAGTGGCGAGGAGCAGTTAAAGCCGGGGTTGAGCTGCTGCAGAGATTGGAAGGAGATGCCGAGAGATGCTGCCACTGACTCACTGACTCGCATGTGTCGCCCTGCTTGGGGATAAGCAACAACAGCATGACACAGCAACCGAGATACAGAAACAGCAGCTACACCTGCTGTCACATAGCACACGACAGGGTGCAAGGGAGGCGAGTTACCAGTTGAATGTAGTAGCAGAGAGAGCAAGAGGAAGGCCCTTGCAAGGTAGTTACCTTGTGAATGTAGTGGAAGACAGAGCAGGAGAGAGGCTCTTGCAAGGGAGGCGAGTCACCTTCTGAATGTAGTAGAAGACAGAGCAGGAGGTCAAGTCGTCCCTCTCACTCACGTTGAGCGTTTGACCCCGGGTGAGGGCAGTCGAGCAGTCCACGGCCTGCCAGCCGGCACAGCGACACAGCAAGGTGAGCGGCAGTGACAGTATAAGAGTACCCCACACGGAAGGGTGAACAGCCGGTCTCGAAGATCACGAGTACCTCTGATTTCAAAAGAATTTGCAGGCACAGGATGTATTGGGATGTACTTTTGAACAAGCCCTCACATTGTTCTGTGCAGTGAACT